GGGCCACTCTGCCATAAAGCCCCGACTGGTGGAGGGCTGCAGTGATAGTTGACTTTGTGGAACTTTCTCCCATCTCCCTACTGCATCTCTGGAGCTCAGCCACAGTGATCTTTGGGTTCTTCTTTACCTCTCTCACCAAGGCTCTTCTTCCACGATTGCTCAGTTTGGCTGGACGGCCAGGTCTAGGAAGAGTTCTGGTCGTCCCAAACTTCTTCCATTTAAGGATTATGGAGGCCACTGTGCTCTTAGGAACATTGAGTGTTGCAGAAATTCTTTTGTAACCTTGGCCAGATCTGTGCCTTGCCACAATTCTGTCTCTGAGCTCCTTGGGCAGTTCCTTCGACCTCATGATTCTCATTTGCTCTGACATGTACTGTGAGCTGTAAGGTCTTCTATAGACAGGTGTGTGCCTTTCCTAATCAAGTCCAATCAGTTTAATTAAACACAGCTGGACTCCAATGAAGGAGTAGAACCATCTCAAGGAGGATCAGAAGAAATGGACAGCATGAGAGTTAAATATGAGTGTCACAGCAAAGGGTCTGAATACTTATGACCATGTGATATTTCAGTTTTTCTTTTTTAATAAATTTGCAAAAATTTCTACATTTCTCTTTTTTTCTGTCAAGATGGGGTGCTGAGTGTACATTAATGAGAAATAAAATGAACTTTTTTGATTTTAGCAAATGGCTGCAATGAAACAGAGTGAAAAATTTAAAGGGGTCTGAATACTTTCCGTACCCACTGTATGTGCCCATCAAAGTGTAGTGCGAGAGTGGCATGAAGTGTGTGCGTACCTGTCTCTGAGAGTCGTTAAAGTAAGCTGGTACAGTGACCACAGCATTCTTCACTTTGGTTCCCAGATAGTTCTCTGCAACACAAATACCAAATAATGAACAAAACCAACGGTCACATATGGATGATGTAAATACCTATTCAGTTTCAGTCATACCTGCAGTCTCCTTCATCTTCATCAGGACGAAGGCTCCAGTCTGGCTGGGAGAGTACATTTTCCCATTAACCTCCAGCCAAGCATCACCGTTAGATGCACGAGCAATCTTGAAGGGGACGTTCTTTCTGTTAACGTAAAGAAAACACATTTGACTAAGATTGATGATTCTAGTTACGTTTTTCAACCACTGTGTGTAAAATCTCAAACATGTACTGAACATGTTTTGGTATTTATCTAGGTACACGTTGTTTTAGTAGGCTATCCTAAATAGAATTATACCATCCCAGGAAAGTAGGGGTGTGAATCATCCAGTATCTTACAGCTGAGTTTCCATTTTTAACTATTTTGGATTCAGATTCCATTCAGTACATTGGGGCGCTAACAGCAGCATCTGTTCCAGTACACTGTGCGCAATAAAGGTGCAAATGATGGCATGAAAGCAAAGTCGCTTTACTCATGCTAAGCTTGCACAAATAAACACTTTCTACAAAAACATTTTCATATTTCTTAGTTATACAAAAAAATTAAAATGCTGCCTGTAACTCAAATAAGATCGGTAGGCTGTTAATTCTCAGAAACTTACCAATTTCAAAAGTATATTGTTAGAAAAATAGCATTTTATTATGTCCATGACTCTGTGTCCTAACTGGTCCCGAGTGATGCAGCGCTCCGTTTTGAGCTGAACTTTTGTCGGATGCCCCGTTTCTATTTATACCCGTCAACAACGTAAATATGAGAGAACCAAAGTCAAATAACGAGCCAACGGTCTATGACGCAAGCACAGACCAGGGTAACATTAAGAGAAAATAAATGAATATAAATAAATACACCTGTGCCGATGAGAGTGTGTTAGCAACATTAGTGGACTACATGCAGTTTAATATGCATTTATCCATTACACAGCAAGAATCAACTTTTCCTATTAATCATTCAATGCAGTTCGTAACATAGTTTAATGAAAGTAATTTTTCTGTGTGCAGAGTTGTTGCTTGAGTGAACGCATAGCACAGACTGTATAAGGAGACGCAGAGTAAACGCGTTTACCCTTTCTACCACTAGATGGCAGTATACGTGTGTTTAAACCATAGATTGACTCATATTTACCTGTGTCTTTGTTAATTATATAGGTTATTGATACAGATGTATCTGATGTTGATGGTTCATTTATTATATACATTATTTATTTACTTGTTATATTTGTCATTTTAGAACCAAACACACCTATATGGAAGACTGAGCATGTGTGGATCACGAGGTAATAAATATTGACATTTGAAGAAAAAAAAAAAAAATAATTCGATTCAAACAAAAGAAAATAGCTGTGCTTTTCTGTTTTTTAGATCTTTTTGCAATATAGTTTTTCTGACTGAACGCTAAAAGTAACTATCAGAATGTAAACGGATCTCTCTGCCATCATGACGGTTGCTGTTGAATTATTCATATTCAGTTTGACTTCACGTTACTTTTCATTTTCTCTTAATGTAAGTGATGTACGACTTGTGTCATGCGGTGCATTCAGTGCACGTGATGCAAACAGCTGCTCTTTCTTCTTTAACACTCAAATATTCATGTTGATATCCTCATGCAATATCTAGTGTATTTTGTACGAAAAAACTTTTTAAAAAAATCAATTTTTGGAAGCTGTGAATCAATTGAGATTCTTACATTTCCCCCCCACACCTACAGGAAACTTACAAGTCTTTCTGGACCTCGGCATCGTCATAGCGACGTCCAATCAGTCTCTTGGTGGCATACAGCGTGTTCTGAGGGTTGGTGACAGACTGGCGTTTAGCGGGCATGCCCACCAGACGCTCCCCGTCTGCTGTGAAAGCGACGACAGAAGGAGTCGTTCTGGCTCCCTCTGCATTCTCCAACACCTGAGAGGCCAAAAGAAAACCTTCAGCTGCTTCATCAAACTTCAGACTGTCTTCTGCAGTGACTGATGCTCCATCCGACAGCCTGGTTCACTCCAAGCGGCCTCTCTAACTATTGCCCGACATCTGTCCCGACATCTTGGGACATCTGGACCCAAGAAATCAGTAATCATGATAAAAATGCCAATTGTTATTGGCATTTACTAAATGTCAGAAGTCCCAAACGATGTTCTAAGAGAACTGCATTATAGTCTGGTGAAACAGCTTTTGCTATTTGTGTGCCTAAAGTCTGTTAAATAAGCATTTGCACCCTAATAACACACTAAAGGCAGAACATGGTGTGTGTCTGGCTGTGGCCACTAATCAGATATAAAGCTACATGTGAAAGGCAGAGATTGTGAACCACACTGAAGGTCAACCCAAGGATGTTTGAATCAAATTTAGAGAGAAGCCGTTTCCAAAACACATCTCAGGAGCACTGCTGGAGTATACGGACCTATAAACATTTAAGTTTCAACGTTAACACATTGAACGCACATGTTGACATACTGTGCTATCTATAACAGACATGTGATGCGTTTGTTCATCCTCACCTTGGCCTGTTTGCCCTCCATGACGGCAACACACGAGTTAGTGGTTCCAAGATCAATTCCAATGACTGCGCCCTTGATGGTCTCTGACCTACAACAGTGAAGACATACACAACTATTACGGTTTGTTTAAGGAACGGTGTGGAACATTTAGGGGGTAGAATTGGCAGCATTGGAATATAACATTCATGACTATGTTTTAATCAGTGTATTATTAACTGAAACTAAGAATAGTAGTATTTCCGTTACATCTACACAGGGAGCGGGTCTTCTTGCACCGCCTGGTTCCTACAGCAGCCCATTAGAACACGGACTGTGGCAAGAGCCATCTGTGTTTTATGTTGCCTGAATGCAGGGATGCATCCCGAAACCCGGTAGTAAACATGCCCCGGTGCTAATTTAACCGAGTGATGATAAGCCCCGACGTAACTGGTGTTTTTAATAGCACTTTTTAATGTTTTGATGTCTGATGCAGCAGCAAGCATTTGCTGTGCTCCTGCATCTGCACACAGACAACACAAAAACACACACACGGCGAGCAGAGAGGCTGCTGTGGTGAAGTAAACCAGGTTAAGTGAAGATTACTGAAGTTGAGGGCAACTACACTTATTTCTGTACATCGATCAATACATCAACAAGCATGAACATGTAAACAAGAGTGGAACCTAGTTCAATGGGCTCTCTCCAAGGTCTCTGCTGGCTGAGACAAAGCAGACAGAAGGACAGAGGACAGGAGGAATGACTGATAATGATTCACAAGTGTCATTTATTTTATTAACATCTTACATTTGTTTCCAGTGCGCTATTAATGACTTTATAGTGACTGCTGTTTTAAACATTACTGTTGCTGCTCTAGAAACATTATTTAGATATATTTTATATATATGAACAAAAGTGCAATAACATTTGGTTTGCAAACACTTTAAACAAATAAAGTGCTTTTTAACAGCAGTATTCCCTTTACACAGTAGCAGTTATAATGATTCTGATAATAGATATTCAGCCGGTGTTCATAACTTTATCTTCATGTGTGTAAGAGATGCAATTTGAAATATACACCTTGAAAACTGCAAACCTATCTACGTCATGTTTTTATGTTTGATAAATTCTCAGTAGGATAACTAAATGATATGTTTATTCTACATATTACAAACAACAACACTTTAAAAAAATAATTTAAATGAATCATTTATTTTTTGCTTTTTTTGGTATTTTGGTCAGACACATGCAACGCTGATTACCGTAATATGTGTGGTATTTGTTATAAATGTACGTTGGTACATAGAGGGTGATAAGAAGCTGTACATGGAGGGACTTAGGACCCAGGGGAATGTAGATGAAGCAAGGGAACCTGTAGTCTGTACCATGGCAGTAACCTGCATCAGGAAGTTATGCTAATAAAGAGTTGCAGTTAAGAGCAGTTTGTGGGGGGGGCAGCAGCAGCAGGAAGTGACGCCACACAAACACAGCTGTTCACCGCTCGCTGCCCGGTTCTTGTGTTAAAAATGTCCGCTTAATAATTAATTTAAAAAACAACGTTAACACACGATAAAATAATTGTCGGCGTTAATTAATTAACGTGTTAACTTGCCCAGCACAGATTTTAAATATAAGTTATAATCCTGAGATATATATAAAACAATTATCTCGTCATGTAGAAAAGCATATATTATAAGAGTAGCTCCTAGTTGTACTAATATCCTAAAGATACCCATCCCTACCTGAAGGTCATCATAGTTCCCCAAAGTGCTTGTAGAAGGGGGGGTGAGTAGAGGCAGCTTTAGTTGGTTGCAATCTGCAACACACCACTAGATGCCACTAAATCATACACACTAGGCCTTTAAGAGATTGTTCAGGCACAAGCAAGAAAGGAGAGTGCAGGAACCTATTGTTTTTGTAGTTCTGCAGGGATTGTGCCCAGGTGTGGGTTAGGGTTCCATAGAGGCCCTGAACGCACACCATGGTTGGGATTAAGTTCTTCGATATAGTTCGATGTTGGCAACATTTTGTCGGATCATTACTCTCATCTTTAAGAGCACATTATCTCCCCTCTGCGTGCTAAGGTGAAGGGCCCTTTCATTGTTGCTTGCAGCTTTAATTTTAAATATTATTTTAATTACTAATATTGTATTATCAGCATTATAGAATAGTATTATATGATATTACTAGAATGTCTTAACATTCATTTCTTAGTTTATTTTTAACGTACCCAAGCTTTCTGTTGTTATTGCTGCTTTGACTGTCAAAGCACTTTGTGAACTCTGTTTTTAAAGGTGTTATATAAATAAAGTTATTATTATTATGTTTCATAGGATATTTTTATACTTTGAATTTAAAATTGTACTTGGATCCTACTCTCTGGCACTCCAGCAACTGAGTACCTGTGAGAAACTAGAATTGATGATTCAACCCTCAAAGAGATCAGGTCTTGTGCTGGTACTCACGCATAGTCCCTCCTGGACAGAGCTCTGAGAGCATCTGGTTGGAAGCCGCCCGTCCAACATGTCTGTGTGTACAGAAAAAAAGTTACAACGTTACAGTTTCATCCGTTAAACCTGAAGAGGTTATAAGAGATTTCAATGGATTCCAGTGAAGGAAGGTCCCTACTATGTCCAAGTACAATTTCATGTGACATTACTGAACAGTGAGAAAATTAAAAGGGAAAGTCAGCTCAAATTACACAGTGGTATTCATTATTTCCTCTTTTTGAACTATATGTGTTGATTGTTTAATGTTATGCACCATCCACCATGTAAAATGTCTTGTATGTGCAACATACTCTGGCAAAATAAATGTTTCTGATTCTGATCATTTTATTAAATCGAGGGTTTTATTTTTCTCAAAAACTGTAAAAATCATATCGGGGTCATCCTGAACAGAAATTCAGTGGAACCTTTTTAGCTAACCAATAAAATTAATGTTTTTATTAAAGATCAAAGATTTATAATAATATTTCAACTTTCGAGCCCCCCCTTTTTTTTTTAAATTAAAAACAGTAGTGTTGTTATAATTGGACTTCATATAACTGGTTCGCAGATGCTGGCTCGCTTAACAGGACTCATGTTGGTCATTGAAGGTCACTGGTCACCTCTTGGAAACAGTGAGACGCTTTCATTCAACACACATGCTTACTTAAATCTGGAGAATGAGCTACGAACACAGTTATCATTCAGAACCATGTATTGCATGATGTAACCAGATGGATAGGTGACAGGTAGGACATCCAGTGAAACAGCCGGTATCAGCCATCACCGTAACAGTGATCGTGTGTAGCGATGGATAGACGGTGGTAACGTTGTTTAACACCCCTTAATATTATGTATATTACACCAGTTGAACTACACAGCCCGCTTCTGTGAAGCTAACTACAAATTATATCTTAGTAACGTTAGTCACGATCATCGTTAAGTAAGCTGGCCTCAAGCTAACACTGTTAGCATGCTAAGCTAGCCAAGTGCTTGTCAAATGTTAGTACTATGGTCAATGCTAGCATACGTACAATAACTCATAAGAGTAGGTTTGTAACTGACCTTTTTAACGAAAGAGGACACATTTCTTGTACAATTGCTTGTCGGGAGAGTCCTTGGAACGCATCTTGCTACACTCAACATTTTTGACAGATTGGCTAACAGGCCAACTAAATCTAATATAACGACGGCGTCTGGTGTCGAAACGGACTCCCTGAAACGTGAACAGCTTAAAGATGTATCTCCGGATGTATTTTGGCTTCCAGACGGCGTATCCAGGGTAGTGCGAACAGTAAAGCTCAGGTCCGGCAAACTACAACGGCAAAAGGAACTGCGAAGCTTCTTCTAGAAGAAATTATCCAACACATGTTACACCATGCACTGCTTAAGGACCCCAACGTGGGTTGCATATTTACTGCCTGTATGTTTTTTAACCTTTAAGAAAAATATTTTAGAACTGTGTATTAAATAAAGGTAAACATGTTATTAAATATATGACCGACATAAAGTATTAAAGATTTTTGATAAATAAATTACTGATAATTTTGCGTTTTTGTGATCATGAACAGAACAGGGCAGGTGACGTTTTACTTAGCTAGTGGACATGTGAAGGTCATGATGTAACCGTATTGACGGGTGACGATGTCACGTGTCTTACATTAGGTATGATGAATGAACGTTGTAGCTTTTCTTATTTAGTAACACAGTAATATTACCAATATTAACACATTGAAGGATCTAAGTTTCCTCCAGAAAAAGAATCGACTCATCCCCTTCTTGTACACAGCGTTGATGTTGGCCTTCCAGTTCAGTCTGTCGATGGAGACACCTAGGTACCTGTACTCATCCACCATGTCCACATCCTCTCCCATAACTTTCACCGGTTGTGGAGCCGTTGTCTTCCTCCTGAAGTCGACCACCATCTCTCTGGTCTTGGCCACGTTCAGACGCAGGTGATTTCTACCGGCCCACTCCACAAAGTCCTCCACTACTGCCCTGTACTCCTCCCGTCCGTCCCTTATACACCCGACCACTGCAGAGTCATCAGAGAACTTCTGCAGATGGCATGACCCTGAGTTGTACTGGAAGTCAGTGGTGTACAAGGTGAACAGGAAGGGAGACAGAACATTTCCCTGTGGGGCTCCAGTATCACTGACCACCGTATCAGACAGCACACGGCCCAGTCGGACAAACTGTGGTCTGCCTGTGAGGTAGTCAGTGATCCAGGAGACGGTGGACGCGTTAACCCCCACCACCCGCAGCTTCTCACTCAGCAGCGCTGGTTGAATAATCCATATTGCAAATAAATAATAATCTAGCAATGTTGTCCACAATGTCTCTCACGAAGTAAGATATCATTAAAACTTTTTTATTTTTATACTTAACAGACAGAATCATAGACAATCAAGACAATTTTTTCCAGAAAACATGAAAACAATCTGAGACTCCAAGACACAGCGATTTCTCAAGTTTTCAACTCCAATGTTGTTAGACTCTACATCAGAAAAAAAAAAGACCATACTTTCTGTCATAGGGACAAAGACTTTATAAGTTCCTCAGATTAGTAAGGGAATTTGAATCCAAAGGTTACTTGAATGAGTACAGATATAAAATAAATGAGAAAAGGACTCAACTTCCTTTTTGAGGAAGAAACAAACGGGGAAACATTGTGTCTAAACCTGTGAATGAATTCATTGCATTGATAACTTTATTGGGGCCAAACAATCTGTTAAATGCAGTCCAAAGATTCCTGTAATGGTTTGGACGCATTCCTTTCCAAAGATGAAGGAAGCTGGGACACTGACTTAGAACAGATGTAAGAACACTTCTGGGTGAGCTGGGTCATTAAATACTATTACAATTGTTTAAGCAGAAGCATATAACGCAAGGAAAATATATACCCATAACCATATTGAGAAATTTCTAAACAGAGCAACTTTACTTTAAAAATGATCTTACCAGACAGTTTAGTGGTATACAGGAAAAATGCAAATGTTGCCAACCAAACACATTATATGAACTAGTAAAGGGATTGAAGGGACAGAGATTGAAATTGAACGAGCTGACGAGATTGTATCTTAAATTTATTGATTGATTGAAGAAATCTCTGTTTCAGTTATTTTAGTGAGTGAAATTCTATGGTTAGTAATATTTTATTTACATGTTAGGACCGTTACCAACCGGCAACCGGGAGCAACCAGACCACAGGGTTACGTTAGCCGGCTAGTACCACAGAGTAGTATATCACCTTGCTTCTTAGCCCAGTTTGGAAGCCTGGTAGACCTTAGCTGTCATGGGAGCTTCAAGCTAGGAGGGCATGTTTTAACAACAGGCTTCATTTGGCCCGCCCTCAGCTCCATCTACGCTCCATCTCTTTTGACATTTTTGGTCAAGGCTGCGTCGTCACTGCCAAGATGGCGATGGCCGGAGCGGCCCACTTCGAGCTTCACTTTGGCACTTCAGAAACCTACGTGTGACATTACAGAGACTACCCTCCATGTTTTATACAGTCTTTGGTGTGGAGACTGCAGTCTCACTGTCACTGTGTATACTTTGAAATCCCTGGGGCTGTTTCCGCTTCCTCTGCCTTCAGTTACCTCTCCAACGTGTGTTAAAAAGGTTATGAATTATGTTCATTAATGGGACTATTTATTGATTATTATTTAGGGTTACTTCTCCTTAAATTGACCACTGCCACCAACAGCCATCTTTTACTTGAAGGTGAGCTGTCTCTGTTTCCAGCTCTCTACTTCCTTCTTATATTTTCATTGTACAACTTGGATAATGGAACAAGCTGACACCGATGTCTGTGCCTCAACCCTTTTGCTAAATTGATATTTAACAGTCAATTCCAGTCAGTGACAGTACTTTTAGTGTCTTTCACTCAGACAATGACGTACCAAATGTATATTCTCTTGGTCCGTGCAAGTCATTTCTGGGCACCTTCACTGCTCTTACATCTCAGAGATTTGAGAAAAGGGATACATTTCATTTATGTATAACTTTATTCTTGAAAATTGTTAAATTAATTATTTTTTTAAATTTGCTCTATATTTCATTTTATGGATCACAGTTGCAATCCACTGAACTGTCTTTGACATATACTCTTCAACAAACTCAAATGGAAACGTTTCCCCGCTGCTTTCTCTCCATTTTGTATTTTGTATTCTTTGTTTGTCCGTTCTGAGCTGTAGAAACATGGCAGACGTCTCCTTGAAGAGGACCTGCTCCGTATGTACAAATAAACAGCTCATGTTGAAATAATCTATATAGAATAACAGGATTACTATTCTAATATTATTAACCTTCTGTAATTTTACCATTATAACGATATATAGCGCCTCAAAGTCTGTGAGTCCGTAAGGGGGGACATTGCTGGCCTACAAGTACGTGATTGGTCAGTGGGCTAGCCTGACATGTTGGGTGGTGACAATCCCAAAATCTGCTACCTCTGTCGAGCGGACATTTTCAGCCTCAAACGCATTAAAACGTATTCAAGAAATACAACTGGGGAGGCTCAACTGTCTTCACTGGCGTCCATGAATGGAGAAGGACTTCTTACTGGAACTAAAATGCACGGATGTACTGAACAACCGTGAGATTAAACTCTTTAACAAAGAAAGGAGGATGCACTTTGTCTTTAAATAGTGAACAGCAGCTTTGGTAAGTTAACTGCTTTTGTTTGTACATCTGTAGAAGCTTTAATATGCTTGTTTATATATTATTTGTACAACTTTTATGAAGATGGATTTTTGTTTGGTTTAATATGTGATAGGAACTATTGTTACGTCCAATGTTGCTCTGGGGACATATTTAGCTGGTGCCAGTGTTGCCAACTTGGCGACTTTCTTGCTAAATCTGGTGACTTTCCAAACCCTCATGGCGACTTTATTTGTCAAAAGCTACTAGCGACTTGTCCTGGTGTTGTTGGAGACTTTTCTGACGTTAAAGAACGTCAGAAAAGTAGAATTTAGTTACAATTTTCTTCACACATTTTTGTGAGCTGGTGTGCAGGATGCCACAGGGTGCTGGGAGGCACTTCAGGTCAAACGCAAAGTAGAAATCAACCTTGTAATATTTTAAAGACATTCCCTTTTGATTGAAGTGCCTCTACATCATCAAGACTTCTGCTGTGCCTCCATGTGGCAGCTCATGGTAACTGGGTGCAAGAACCCAGGCACAATCAGCAGGGGATCGTCGAGTAGTGGTTATAGTGGTCAGGGTGAACCAGCCAGTTAGTTTCTTAATGAAATTTCTCAAAAACACAGACACACGAATATTGGTAAACATTTATTTTGTGTTGATTTCTTTCAGTAGTGCAATCATTTCTTGTTGCGGTTTCAGCATTTGACCCACACGTCAACATTTCCTTTTGAAATCTCTCTCTTCCAGTCACCTCCACCTCGCCAATTCCGGCCTCACCAGTGACTCCAGTGCACTTGTCCTTCGTTCAGCGTGGGACTGGTGGGTCTCATGAAAGGACTGTTGCTCGCTGCTTTCCCCCCCTAGGTGCTCTTGTTGGTTGCGTGGCAGTTGAAGGACCGGGTCGCTGTTCGTCAGCGTCACACGATTCCAGTTGATGGCATCTGACTGGGGAAAAGTGGTGTTGAAAGGACCGTCCCTGGAGGTGCAGTCTTCACCCCGGAGCCACCAAATATTTCATCCATTTGCTGTAAAAGGACACAAGATTCCATTAAAAATCATATGTACAAAGTGGTTGTTTCAAGTTTGTCTGCAGAGATACAACTATGTTACATAGTTAAATTGTAGGTGGCAAAATACTGACCGGGGAAAATGGAAGATTGATACTAAGCGAGTCCAACTAACACTTAAGATGTTATTACGTGCCGTCTTGCGTTTGTGCTTTCCCTCTGTGTTCCCTCAGTGTCTTCTCGGATTCCAACCTCTGTCCCGGATACAAGCTGCAGCGGCTGATTTACACATTTGTCACAGAAGCCTGTAATTGAGAGGAAAACCAACTTTGTGCTCCATAGAGACCAATGTTAAATTTTGCTTCAAAAACATCTTCCACTGAACACGGTACCCCATTTCTAGATCGCCAGTTAAGCCACATTTTTTACACTACAGGATCTGTTCTTCAACTCATTGGACACAATGAGGGGGCGTGTCGGCCATTAAAACACTTCCTGGAAGCCTGTTCTCCTGGGTCCTCGCTCATGGCTCCTCAGAGATCCCTCCTCCCTCCTTGATCCTCAGAGCAGAAATAAGAGCTTTGGGACAGCCATCAATATGGAGCAGAACAACTTCCGGTTCAAGCGACAATCGAGGAGCAAGGAAATGACAATTAAGAGACTTGGGATGTACCCTCAGACACAGGTTTTAGGCAGCATTAGTGGATCCACGATGTTGATCATTGGAGTCTAGTCATCCAGGGTTGGGTTCAGGTTATGGAATGTCTGTGGGGTCCTAGATCAAAGGTCTCAGAGGTTCTTCTTACTTTCATTTGTTCTTGGTGACAGTGGTCTGGAAGACACTGGAGGCAGACATGAGGTTCTCATCTCTCTCTCTCTCTCTCTCTCTCTCTCTCTCTCTCTCTCTCTCTCTCAATAAAAGCCCCAGAGAGTGAATTCTAACTGAAATGCTTGTGATGAAGCCTGTCATTTAATAACCTGTTTATGTGTGTCAAACATTAAGAGAATGTCTCCTCTCTCCCCCACCCAGTCCCACCCTTTCAAAATAAAAGCCTCATGGATTAACTATTTAAACATTAAGCTCAAAATTAGGCTTTTTTGTAGAAATAATGAATGCTCTTACTAACTGACAATTACTACTGCTAATATTTATAGTATTACTACTACTACTGCTGCTGCTGCTACTACTACTACTACTGCAACTTTTGCTGTTGCTACTACCACTATCGCTGCTGCTATTACTACCACTACTACTGCTGCTGCTATTCCTGCTACTACCAGTACTAATACTAGTACAGCTATTAGTAAGACTGCTACTAGTACTACTACTCCTGCTATTACTGCTACTTCAAAAACTGCCATTACTATTACTACTACTTCTACTACTACTACTGTTATATTAAATACTACGACCACTACAGCTATTACTACGACTACTGATAGTACTACTTCTTCTAATTACTAATACTTCTACTACAACTTCTAGTACTGCTACTACAAATATCACTACTGCTACAACTAGTACTTATTCTAAAGCTACTAAGACTTCTACTGCTAATAATACTTCTACAACTACAACTTCTAGTACTACTACAACAAATATCACTACCACTGAAAGTTTTTAAGCTACAGAAACTGTTTGAATATCAAAATTTTCAGCTCTTTCAGGAGAGGGGTGATATGACTTTTCATATTTGTAATCTTTAAACTTTTTGATTTATTAAGCTTTTTGCAATTGTTTTTGAATTGGATATCCATTTTCAGCAATGTTTTTGCAATTAATTTCAGTTTTCAGCATTCCAATGCATTTTCAGCAGGAAATGCATTTTCTAGTTAAGGTATCATACTTGTTTTTACTCACCAGTTGTCAGTCGATCAAGAGTTTGCCTGTTCACTTTTAACTCGACGGAGCCTTCACCATCCTTCAAGATAATCGTTAGTTTGTCCATTGTTGCAGGTTTAACTGAGCTCCTTTATGTACCCAATTGCTTGACAAGAAATGACCACACACCTGCTTGAAATGGAGCAGATCTACTGTGGGGGAGCCCATCACAGTGATTGCTGTTGTGTGTGTGTTGCTGATTTTCCAGATGATGTTGTGGAAGATATTTTATGTCTCCAGTATATACATGTTAGAATTGATAAGGTATGTAATATTATGAACAGCTTATGAGCAGTCTCAACATAATTCATTAGTATATATTTCCACTTTGTTGTAAAATTACACACACACACACTATTCACAGAAGAGCTCTGTGTAAATTGGACACACTTTAGTTGAACAGGTGTTTGTGATCAGCTCTTTGATCCGAAGACAGACAGAAGTTTCCCATCATGCCCTGGGGTCACTCAGTCGGTGGAGAGCAACTGCAGCGCCTGGCTCTAAAATCGGTGGCCGCCTGCTCTTGTGAGGTAATGGTTGCCCACGTTTTCATGACGTCAGAGCAAGTCAGACGCAAATCTACCCGGCATTCATTGTGCGCCGATCGCCGGTGATCGAACACTCACTACGTTTTGTAGATAATCCTATTTTTTAAATCTAAAAACATATTGTGTGATTGATATTAATACATCTCATTAATGTAACACATCAAAACGAGCAGCAAAGTGGTTCACAGGCAGACCATGCAGATACAAGCACATTCCCACATAAATATATATTTACAAACACATATGAATAAATCCGATCGAAGTCTGTAAACTACAAGCAGCCTACAGATGGGCTAACAGGAAGTAACTGTTTATCTGACTTCCTGTGAATTCCTTTCCACCGCTGCTGCCGCCTGCTCTCGTCTACTTCCCACTGCTCATCTCGAACGAGCCTAGCGTTACATATATTTATCTCGCGAGAGAAAACACTTCCCTGGACAACGTCTACGTGCCTTCACAGGGAGGCGCTTGTTTACTGTAAAATAAATATGCTGTAAGTATATTGACAATATTGAAATGTTGAGGATTACTCACGTGTACCTTTGAATGTTGTCAAAGAGCGGCAACTTAGCTGCAGTCGTGGAAGCTTTTCATCGACGCTCCCTCGCCACGCAGCGGTAGCAGCTTGACGGACTGTAAAAGACTGCTTTACCTGCTGATCATCCAGCCGGTCGGTCGCTCTGATATGGCAGAGAGTGGGTCGTCGCTTGACTTTTCCGGCTCTCTGACGAGCTCGACCCTTCCGCCGCCGAGGACCCGCATCTTCAAGATCATCGTGATCGGGGACTCGGGCGTCGGAAAGACCTGCCTCACCTACCGCTTCTGTGCGGGGAAGTTCCCCGAGAAGACCGAGGCCACGATCGGGGTGGACTTCAGGGAGAGGCTGGTCGAGTTTGACTGTGAGAAGATCAAGGTGTGCACTGAAATAATAGAATTAGAAATGGAGATTCAGATTGTGTGCCTCTGGGTATCTCGGGCGGTCTGCTATAGAGCACATCTCATGTAAAACTGGAACACACATTAGTTAGTTAGAGGGCGAGCAGGGATAAACGGTAGAACAAGCCCAACGTTCACCGCTTACCCCGCCTATAGGTCAACATGTTAAACGGTGACTTAAGGAACGGAGTACTGCCCTTCCAGAGGTTGTGAGACTTGCATCAAAGAATGAATAGATAAAGTCAACCGCAAGCTTGAGATATTGTCAATCTTAGAAATGTAAATTGCATTTAAATGTCCACATTGTTGTGTGGGGTTTGGTGCAAAGTTTTCTTCATTAGTTTTTCTAGATTTTTCTTATTGTCAACATATCCCATGAAAAAGACCAAAACCAACAATGTGCTTGTAATAGCTTCTGGACAACAATGGAGCTCCGGGTAACAGAAGATCATCCGGCTTTGTTAGTAGAATGAAGTGCTTGTTGGTTTAGCTCTTCTATATTTCGGGATATCGGGTCGATACTGATTCAAACTGCAGGATTGGATATCGTGACAATGGGGCTGATCTATTCAGTTCAATTCTGTCTTATATACTTTGCATACTTGAATTGTAATTCCTGTTGAAGTTTTGACTCATTTGTTGTGCAGTTTTAAATATTTGCTGGTGTGCGATTTATTGTTTTAATATTTAATAATTCAGTAAATGTATATCCATTTATTCATTTGTTACAGTCTACTTCACAAAGCTAGGAAAGGAATAGGATGGGTTCTCAGTATCAACAGTACCCTAAGCCCAGGAACCGGTATCAGGGTTGTAAGCGAAGGATTGGTGCATCCCTACAAATAGGATTTGATCCATAACTGCTGATCCATTTCCAAACTGTCCCCCCACAGATCCAGCTGTGGGACACTGCAGGTCAGGAACGCTTCAGGAAGTCCATGGTGCAGCACTATTACCGCAATGTGCATGCTGTTGTCTTTGTCTATGATGTGACCAACGCTGCCAGCTTCCGCAGCCTCCCAGCATGGATTGAGGAGTGCAAGCAGCACGCGCTGGGCAGCGAGGTCCCCAGAATCCTAGTTGGAAACAAGTGCGACCTTCAAGACTCCATTCAAGTGGGGACAGACGTGGCGCAACAGTTCGCCGACGCCCATTCCATGCCCCTCTTTGAGACATCTGCAAAGAATCCAAACAGCCAGGGAGACGGACACTATGGTGGAGGAAACAGTGACCACGTTGAGGCTATTTTCATGACGGTGGCCCACAAGCTGAAGTCTCAAAAGCCTCTGGTTTTGAGCCAGCTACCCGGGGGATCAGTGGGTACCATCAACCTGAGCGGTGGGAGGGATGCTGGGGGAGATGGGACCAGGAACTGGGGGTGCAGCAGCTGCTGAGCGAGTAAAATGGAAGGAAAGAGGGTGACAACTTCATCCCGAGGCTGCACGAGCCTTGAAAGCGCAAGGAGCGAAGGAAAGTGTGGAGGTCTAGAACGGAGGAATGGATCTTGCCAAATGGCTTCACAATCAACACAAACACAGATTAATTTGTCCATAAGAGGAGGATACTTTTTTTCACAATGCCTATGCTTCACTTTATAAATGACTTTGAATGGTTCTGAGGTAGTAGTTACAGTCTGCTTGTTGTTCTGGTCTATCGCTGGTCCACGGATGAACTGAAATGAACTTCAACAAGGGGCCAAAAATCTAATTCTAATTGAGTTTTCCTCTTTCATTCAGCACCACTTTAACGTTCTATTCACTTATCTTCACGGGCTCTGTGGCAACAGAACACATGGAGGGAGATGCCATAGAAATCTCTTTCTATACTAAAGAGCTTCACTGTGATATGATGGGAGAGCAGAACTTCTTTATGCAGAAATAATATCACAGCACATCATAATCTAATACAATCTCTTTGGTTTGAATTCATCCATCCCATCGAGGGGGCTGCTGTAAACCAACACAGCCATGTTTACATTCAGTGTTTCTCATCAAACACATTCAATAACACATGTTGAATGCATTTCCTTCAAAACAATATGTATTGCATGTTAACACCAACAAGTGTCAATCAGTGGAATAATGTCAGTGTGTGTTGCATCAGCAGCAGTCCCATGATACAGAGCATTTACATCACGGCTCATGGAAGCATGTTTGCTGCCATCAGTGGTCAAAAACTGCACAAGCCTCGATTATGCTTAACATGAAAACATGCTGAGCAAGCGCATTGAAATTATGCACTTGATTGAGGAAAAAAAAAAAAAAAAAAAAGGATTAGTGGTAAAAAAGTATTTGTACTACTGAAGAACAACATTGGGAAATACCCTAAACACATGCTTATGTATCTAGAATGTGAAGGAAATACTCATAAGGACTCTAGCTGGAAGCTTCTTACTGCCCGTCACACACTGGTCAAGGTTCTGTTCACAGCTTGCTTCAGCGGCTCCAAAGTGGCCAAGAAAAACTACTTCCCCCTGGTTTAAGACGTCTACTTTTGATGGACAGTACCTTTTGTTAAGCTCAAGTTTGTTGCCTGCTTTGTTTTCAGAATGCAGGGGCAGCCTCCTGGCCCGTCGGACCAAACAGTACCAACCTGTGCTTTCTCATTCTCACACTACTGCCTTTCCTGTTCGGAGCATTTTGACGTCATCCTGGTTTACACTTCAGGTTTCTGTTGACCTGAAGTGTGAACCATGATGACAGCAGTGGCAGTATTCTATTCTACAGATTGAAGTCAAGTGTGAAATCATCTTATCATCACTAGTCATCATTATTATTATTAGGATTGTTGTTTCATGGATAGAACAAAAGTTGCTGGTAATTAATGTGATCCGCCAACTTGCTCCTGCTGTTGACTTGTGTTGTGCGACGCCCTCCGTTGATGACGCATCCTTGATTATAATGGTTCTGTTGAATCTGATGGAAATGCAGACTAGTTTGCTAGCACCAAGGTTTCAAGAATCCTGAATGGAACTGATTCCAGAACCAGAGTTAGTTTGGTGGAAAAGTGCTATCGGTGATGGGGGAGGTGTTACCAGGGACTCTGTGGATCGCATGATAAAGGATGCAGAGGGAACCTGGTAGGAACTTGGAAATGGAATTTAGGGAGAATGTTTTTAGCTGGCTGTATTTTTCTGTTCCCTTTTCTTTGTATGAAAGGCAACAAAATAGCCAGATTTGTAAACAAGTGTACAGATAAGTACTGTGTAGGCTAGCTAGTGAATAGAACAGGAACACACACACCTCTCATAGCCTGTAAGGCTTTGTAGTGTGCACCTCTACACCCACTCCTTGTCCTGTACGTAAGCTTGTAAAATATTCAGCATGTGGCGAACACCATTGTATGATAAAAGCGGACACCGTTTACGCCAGGAGGCAACATAAGCGGGTGTCGTTGTCACCAGAGGTTGCAGCTGTGGTGCTGGTTTTAGACGTGTGCTGTGGCCACAGCTGGTCCTGTGGCTCCGCTGCACATATATCAAACCAAATGGCCTCGTCTCAGGACTCAGAGGCTATGCACACAGATGAAATAAAAACACAAGCAGAGACGGGCTGTGCGAGCTGCAGCTGGTCACGTGACAGCAGAGGAAGACATCATGTGGGCGTTTGCTTTCTTCTGTTATTAAAGTGTCAATGCCCCAGCCTTCACACAGGGCCTACTATAATCTGCTTTGCCTTTCCTTCACTAAAGCCATTAAAACACATCATGCTAAATGTATTGCTCATTGCAAATGCCCAGAAAGAAAAATCTAAATTTACAGAATGGTATCAATTGATGTACTAATGAATGAAAGTACTCAGGACAAGTAGTTGCAATTGTTTTGTCATGCAATAAACTACCCTGAACATTTCAACATGTTGTGATCTCTTTAAAAAAGGTTTTATTTATTAAATACACAAAATATCTTAGATTTATATATTGTGAACACAGCATACAGTGAATTAGGCATTTCATTCATTCATATACAGGTATTCAACTCTGGCAACAGAAACCTTTGGCCAAGGAGAGATGAAGGCACTGCCACAGTCCAAAGTGCTCGGTCTAATCAAGACACACATGACGTTTATCTCTTTACAACATTCCATCCATCCAGTAATGAAGACATGTGAATACACATCTTTAAGGAAACATAATCCATAACCATCCCCCTCCTCTGGAATGGAGAGAACAAGAGGAATGTGTAGGACAAGTCTGTGGATGTGTATCAGGTCAGTCTGCTATATGGAGGCGGTTTAGAAGGACCCTCCTCTTCCTCCTTGATGCCCTGGTCAGTGGACTGAGCAGGACAGCTGAACAGCCTGTCGTCACCTCCTGCTGCATACAGAAAACTACATCACTTGACTGTTAGGAGAAAAACTGCCAAACACAGTAATATCAGCAGCAACTAGGTGCAGGGATTAGTTTGGGAGACGGTAGTGGATAGTCAATGGACTCGCATTTATAAAGTGTCTTTCTAGTATTGCGAGCAGTCAAAGCACTGTAAACATGTCAACGTTCACCCATTCACACACAGTCATACAATGATGGCAGAGGCACCTGCACATCAGGATCTAAAATAATTATTCACATACACTCACACACACCGATGGTCAGGAGACTTTCTGGGTTCAGTATCCTACCCAAGGACACTTTGCTAAGCAGACTGGAGGGTCCGGGGATTAAACCGCCGATCTTCCAATCACAGCCAGCCCAGACAACATTACAGACAACCTCTAACAGTAGTTACCTTGCCATGTACAAACCATCTCCGTATCCCCTGGGTCACACTGAGGAACAAGTGTCTCCTGCAACATACACACAAAAAAGAATCACAACCATGGAAATACACCCGTGGCCAAATGTTTTGAGATGACACAAATATTAATTTTCACAAAGTCTGCTGTCTCAGTTTTTATGATGGCATTTTGCATATACTCCAGAATGTTATGAAGAGTGATCAAATTAAATGCTAGTAAGATTGCACCTAAATCAACCATTTATCGGATCATCAAGAACTTCAAAGAGAGAGCTTCAATTGTTGTGAAGAAGGCTTCAGGGAGCCCAACAAGTCCAGCAAGCACCAGGACGTCTCCTAAAGCTGATTCAGCTGCAGGATCGGGGCACCACCAGTGCAGAGCTTGCTCAGTAATGGCAGCAGGCAGGTGTGAGTGCATCTGCACGCACAGTGAGGCGAAGACTTTTGGAGGATAGCCTGGTGTCAAGAAGAGCAGCAAAGAAGCCGCTTCTCTCCAGGAGAAACATCAGGGACAGACTGATGTTCTGCAGAAGGTACAGGGATAGGACTGCTGAGGACTGGGGCAAAGTCATTTTCTCTGATGAATCTCCTTTCCGATTGATTGAAGAAAAGGTGAGCGCTACCATCAGTCCTGTGTCATGCCAACAGTAAAGCATCCTGAGACCATTCATGTGTGGGGCTGCTTCTCAGCCAAGGGAGTGGGCTCACTCACAATGTAGCCTCAGAACACAGCCATGAATAAAGAAAGGTACCAAAACATCTTCTGAGAACAACTTCTCAACACTGCAAATATTGACTCTCTGCATAAACTTAATGTAATTGTCAATAAAAGCCTTTGACACTTATGAAATGCTTGTAATTATACTTCAGTAACCATAGTAACATCGGACAAAAAGATCTAAAAACACTGAAGCAGCAAACTTTGTGAAAACCAATACTTCATTCTCAAAACTTTTGTCCACGGGTGTATATATCACTCTTTTCTACAAAGAGGGGAAAAAAGCCTTGTACTCAGTGTAATCAACAAGATTGTTCTTTGTCAAGTAGAAGTGGAACATTAAAAACCACCAAAGTGTCTTATCTGACAGCAATATTCACAAACATATTACAGCCCAAGGCCAGGCAGCATATCATCAGCTAACACTTCTTTGTGTTACATTACTACATTAGAGTTCATGGTGAGGCTAGCAGCCCTGTCCTGCTTCTCTTAGATTGGGTGAGGTTTCTCCGAGATGACGTGTGTTAAGCCCGATTTATGCTCGCTGCATACGCAAAGGTTGCAAATGTGGAAAACTTTGAGGAGCTTTGAAAATGTTGGTTTGCCACCAGGAGAACCCCGCAGAGTATTAAGATCCAAGCGTGTCCTCGTCCCGATTCCACGCCAACCAATGCACGCGAGACTGAAAGATAATGGAGGCTTTAGTCCTTGTACTCAAAAGCTTTTTTGTTCATAAAATTAAAAGTGAGACACACTGCTTGAAAATAGTAATAGGGAAGCACAAATATAACATTTGTCTTGCTTTCCCAACAAACATAAAAATGAAAAGGGTGATGTTAGAGAGGAATGACGTCTGAGCTTACATTTTAATACTAGGGCTAACTAGCTATGCACTGCAATACAAGAACATTTTTATTTCCATATCTTTTACATGGATCATTAGCCATTTTGTGTGAGACATGCAGCTTCAGTCTTTTACCATAATAACATCTGCATATAAGATCCTTTTAAAAACGAGTCAGCTGGAGATGGTGTTCAACCAACTCGTGGAGCTAACATCAGCTTAATCAGCTAGCTGGCTACAGCCGATACAAGCCACCTGTGACGGAGGCTGCTTTTTTCTAGTTATTCAAAAAAACTACTTGACTATTGCGTGGTAAATCTCCCACCGTTATCAGTGGAAACAGCATATGTGCAGTGGAGAACAGACAGCTTGACAGGCAACAGTAACTCATTTTTAAGCCATTTGTGGTGACTGCGCTCTTCAATACCAATCCGGTTCTGGCATCATAGCAGCCACAGCAGGGAAGACTACGGCAGCCCACGTAGGCGATTAGAGAGGAGAGAGCCAGGCAGATGGTGCAGGTCAGCAGTATGGTGGCGTTGGCCCCCTTCACCATCCGGTGGAGCACAAAGGTCTGAGCAAATGACAAAGAATGTAGAAATCCGTATCAAGTAGCCCAGTCGTAGATGTGGTGATGTGAAATGAAATCCTGTCCTCAGACATGTGTGTATGTATGTATGTATGTATGTATGTATGTATGTATGTATGTATGTGTGTGTGTGTGTATGTATGTATGTAATATATATATATATATATATATA